CACCCCCACCCGCCTTCAAGATACAGATCATGTTTGAATGACATGGCATGTCATCTCTGCAACAGCCTGAAACAAATATGTAGACTTGCTGATAATCGAACAATGAACTTATGAGTCAGACTAAACGCACAAAACAATAGCCTAAAACAACTGGCTTCTTATCTCTTTTTTTTTCTTTTCCTGTTCTCGCAAATGATCTGTTCTTTTTATACTTCCTGATAAATGACCCATGAAACACATACTAGTTGTTGTGACAAGGCCACAGTTCCTGCCAAATAGAACTTTTAAAGGGGCAACATCATGTAAAATCAACATTTTTGAGTTTTATATCATGTTATAATGTTATCCTCTCATCAAAAACATGCCCAGAGTCTTGCTTTGACTCATTCATGCATGTTTGAGAAATCCTGTGGTGTCCTGAGGCAGCCAGGCAGGGCAGCAAAAACGACTGATTGGGACTAGAACTGCCCTTTGGGATCAGCTCCTCCTCTGGGCGGTTTGTCATATCTCCAAACTGAGCTTCCTCATCACAGAGCACACACACCCACCCGGCCCGTGCTGAAATGGGCAGGACAGAAGCGGAAGGAGGTTCTTAAAGAGACAGAGGCCAATTTCAAGGCGTTTAGAAACAGAAATGATGAGAAGTCAAGTTTAATTTCTATTTAAACATATAAACAGCATTTTAATGACAACTGAAGGTGACATAGTTACTTTATTATGGTATAGAATTTAAATWTATGCCTGAAAAAMACATAAAATTGCCCCTTTAACAACCAACACAACACGTCTGTAAATTCACGAGCAACTAGGGGTGAGCATATTGATCCAGGTATCAAAACCAAGATGAGTATTGGATTGGATCGATGAGATTTAGTCTTTTGTTTACACTTAATTTGTACAGTAGAGCAGAGCAGTCCTCTGCATGGTGATCAAGCAATGGGAGATATTTTTTGTTGTACATTGTTATATTTATATTGTTACTTTTTTTGTTATTTTGCACTAGTGACCATTTTATTAAACTGTGTGTAGTAGAAGGTAATGGGGGAATTATTTCATTAATTTTACATTGTCACATTGGTTTATTTTGTTGTAATTAGTTAATTAAAATATTATTTGCCTAAAATCTTTGTTCTGTGTTTTATCCTAACTGACTAACTAAAGGCAAAATCACAAAATGATTTAATGAACATTTCAAGCATCAGTATCAGAATTAGCAATACTAGCCTGCGTTTACTTGGTATCAGATCAATATCAAAATTCCTAGTATYGCTTACCTCTATTTGTAGAAATGAAAATATCAGCATGTACGGTGATGAAAAACCTAACTGATTTGCTATTTTTAAATTAACTTTCTGTACAATAAAAAATGTAAAAGTACTAATTTAAACTGAACACAAAATATGTATTAAATTTTCAATGTTTTTAAGACAGATAAGAATCAGGCATCGTCTGTTTTGAGACGTAAAATGTCTTGATTTGCTTTTACTTTGTTTTTGGTGCTTCTTAAAAAGCAAATGCAAGCTTAAATTAACATTTTAGCTTGTATTTAGTATGTAAAGTATTTAGCTTTTTAAAAAAGCTAAATACTTTTGTTCTGGTGAAACATAATGTGGTCTTGAAGCCTCTGAAGTCTTTGCGAAATGTGAAAATGCCACAAATCAGATATTATTTWAAAAAAATTCTTCACACTATCATGTTCTGTTAAGTGATGTGTTTTGCACTTCAGGATCAAAAAAGCCCCAGGGCAGAGGGCACTTCCTCTCGGCCTGCATGCGTTTTTTGACAATATCACCTATCCACATGAGATTAAAACTGCATGTGCTGTTAATTTATTTCTAAAAATAAATGATTTAAAATATTTGTGAGTTTCAACCAAAAGCATCAAACATATATATAGGATGGAATGTATATTTTGGACATACCCTGGCATGTGGCAAACAATTTGCTGCACTCTAGTGGACAAGGAGGCGTGAGCAACCAAAGCCACAGCTGTTTCACATCAGATGCTGCTTATTTGCACCAAAGCAGTCTGAAAATACGGTTTTATTTATTTAGTAAATGTTACTTGCTTTCACTCACTTTAACTATGGGAAACACTCACGTTTTTTAGAGGTTTTTGTAATTGGATTAGCCCTCTTGCTTGCTAAACGTTGCATTTAAATTTGGGAGATTCTCTTTTGCAATTCGGCTAAATTAGTTAATGTTTTGGAAAAGTCAAACTACTTCACTCCCGTTGCACAATGTACATTTACATTGTTTAACAGAGAGCTAACTTGTTGCGTAATTGTATGACAAAACTTCTAATCATTTGCTTCCTTTTCGTGACGACAGTAACGTAAGCAGCATGCGTGTTGGAGAGAACTGGGCTGAGCAGAGGCACCTTCCTGCAGAGATGCAGGAAACTGACGCCTTCAACTTCAGCATCAAGTTAATTCATCCAGAGGGCAACTGACGGCGGAAACTGGTCTATTTATATTTCAAAATAAAGGCTTACATCAAGTTTGTCAGCTACTTACAAAAATATGTCGTGTTTATAGGGGTGTGTATTGGCAAGAATTTGGCGATACGATACATATGACAGAGGGGTCATGATACGATATATCCCGATATATTGCGATACTGTAAGCAAGGCGATATATTGCGATTTTTTTTGTCCAAAAATTCTAATAAATAAAAACCTCTTACAGGGAAAAAAAAATGAAAAACCAAAATTCATTGTCTCAGAAAATTCTAATATTACATAGACATACTTTTGATTCATTTAGCTGTGTTCTGCTTTGTATGTATTTTATTTTGTTTCATATTTCTTATTTCATCCATGTTTTCAATTATTAGACTAAATTTGACAATAAATAGTTWGAAAATATATTTTTTGCAGCTTTTAGTTTTTAATATTAATTTACAATAAGGTCACCCAACACTTAACAATAGCCTCTACCTCAAGAGGTAGAGTACCCAAATGGCTGGCTCACTGCTGCCAACTAGTGGTCAGAGGCTGAACTACAACATAAAAGTGAACGGCTGGCAGGAAARTTGACATTTTAAACCTTAATAAAAAATCGATACAGAGCTTTAGAATATCGATACAGTATCGGGAAATGAAATATCGCGATATTTCAGTGTATCGATATTTTCTTACACCCCTAWTTAGCAAATGAATTTAAAGAGCACAACAATAGCATTATAGTCATATATGCTTAAMAACTCAAACTGCCACCACTACTGACAAAGAAACATTAAATTCTGAAACAAACGGTGAGCATTATTTGGTAAATAACAAAATAAATATGCCATCACACATTTAATTTAATGTAGTCAAATTTAAGATATATATATAGGACAGTTTGGGGGTTTTATTTTGAAGACATACCGGAAGCATTTCTTTGTGCACACAAGCTAGCTTGATGGTGGTTCGTCAACTTCTCTGTGGTCAGCTAACTGAAGCATGAGGTCTGTGTCTTGCCCATTATAGGTCGGTAACAATAAACAACAAGAGTATCGGTTGAAATGTGACAATATGGTCGACATTTTCAGATTATTTTGACTCCGGTTTGTCTGTGACGAAAAAAAACGAGCGCACAGCTAAAAAAAAAAAAATCTTATCCGACTCGTTCACCTCCTCCTTCGCCGCTGTCAGCGTCCTGTGTGACGGCTTATRTAGCCACGATGATGTGATTGAGAGTAATTACCGTCGAAGGAAGTCACATTTAATTATAATTAYAGCTGGATGGCTTCGGTACATGTCTGTTAGCATTAATAAACARCCCGCATGCTCTCGTGTCGATAGCTGTCTGAGTTCCGTGTCGGGAGGAACCGCTACATTTCGCTGACTGCATCCACAGCCCATCCGGAGGAAGAGAGAGAGAAAGAGAGAAAAGATGTCTTTCTTCAATTTTCGAAGGATCTTCAAGTTGGGACCCGATAAAAGGAAGAAACAGTATGAGCACGTACACAGAGACGTGAACCCAGAAGAGATCTGGGATATCATAGGGGAGCTGGGAGATGGCGCTTTTGGGAAAGTGTACAAGGTAAGTTGTGTTACGTTACATCCGCCTTGTTGTAGTTTTTCTCGCCCATCTATGAAGAAACTCCCTACAGTAGAAGTTTAGTTGTGTTAATATGGCTGCATCAATGACACAACCCTTAGGCCACAGCCTTTTAAAGGCAAAGGCCCCAGTAACTTCATCTGTATTTTTAAATGAATCCTAACGCTGTTTTGAACTCTTCCCTGCCTACAAGCCCGTGACAGACTGAGTATATAAACCTATCCAAGGGCAGGTGTGTTAAGGAAGTGTCTTTTGGTCTGTTACATTGGTTATGGTTCAAACATTTCTTGGTCCTGATTSATATGTCAGTCAACAAGGGAAAATATATAAAGGCGTGTTGAGTTTCCATACACTTGACTTCAAACTATAAAAGTTAAACTAAAAGTAACCCTTAAGGTCACATACTGTAAAAGGCAAGGTGAAAAGACAACAAAGCAGGTGTTGTTAAAGGTAAAGTCCCCAGTCCACCGTCAGTACATACACTGACTGTGGCAGAGGTGTGTGCTTTTAGTGATCACTCCTTATAATGTAAGTTTGTTTCACCATAACAAGAGCATTTTGCTCTAAAAACGTCCTTTTAGGCTTAGAGCGAAGTAGTTGCATTGTTTAGTTAAACCAAAGTATTTGCAGTTTTGATTATCTATCTATCATAGACCATCTTTCTCAGTTATGTGGACTAGGGCTGCCACAAATGATTATTATAATAATCGATTAATCACCGATTATTTATTCGATTAGTCGACTAATGGGATCATACGTTAATTGAATAT